GGAAGGGATGCCGACCTCTGAATCCACGTCGGATTCGTGGTTTGCAGTCCCCTCCCTCCCCACCACGCAAAACTTCTAGAGTTGCTTCCACTACATTCTTGAGCCTCCAGAATCAGGGCTTATCTCTCACTGCCCTTTACACAGCCTATTCCTAGCGGCAAAGGTGCCTCTTTCGTGCTTTTCCCCCCAAACTTTAACCAACTCAAAACCGCAGGTTAGTGAGTCTGTCTCCCTCACTTTTTTTCCACCCGTGAAACCCCAACCAGACCTGCAGAGCGGGTCACGCTCTCCTTACTTGTGGAGACGGCTGTGGCTGGCCAGAAAACGGATTTGCTCACTAACCTGGAATCTGTGGCCTGGATCAGAGCCGAGGATTTGCAGCTGCCCGGACCTCCACCGAGGCCGAATGACTCAGGGGGAAGGGGCGGGGCCGGGGAGAAGGAGGCGCTGCTTGATCTGGCCAAACTGTCCAGCACAGCCTGAGATCATGCAGACTCCATGGGTGTGGTCGTCCTGCCCCATCAGGCAGAAAGGGAGCCCAAGATAGTTTTTAGAGGCAGTACTGCCAAGCTGTTCCTTTTGTCCGATGATTTACAAATTTTGAGGCCTTTGAGAGCACCTGAACGCCAGAAATGATACTTGTAAATTGTTTTCAGTCTTCTGTAGCCTTCCAACATCATTTCAGAGATTAATAACCCTGATAATACACCTGTGCTTAATATTAACATATTGATTTAAATGTCTAAATAAATTTAAAATATCTAAAGTTGCTCAAGTGTGTAAAGATGACCCTTTGTCATAATGGCATGATTTGCAAAACCATCGTTAGAATTTATCGATTTAAAATTGCACGCACACACACATATGTGTGTGCGTGTAATTTTAAACTGTATAACTGGGAGATCATAAATCTATGTTTTTAGGTCCTGTGAATACTTGCAAAGTTTATAGAACCTCAGAGCTGCAACTATAGGGTTTTGAACTGTACAGCAGTTTGGAGGAGAAAATTGTGCCAAACTTCCTGCCCAAGGAGACTGACTAGATGAGTGTCACCTGGTCTAAGATGGTGGGTCAGTGAGAAAGGTATAGAGGGAGAAGGAACTGAGATGTCCAGATAAAAGTGCATACAGAGAATTGGGTAATATGTTGAGAATTGGATTAAGTATCAAGAGGTTATCGTGAACAGTCCCCAAGCAAATGAAAGATTAGTGGAATCTCAAAACAAGAAATGCAGATGTGTCACTATTCAAATGAGTACCTCATATCCACAGGCTTACGAAGCCACACAGAGGGTACTTCTGACCACCTCCATCACAAGGATTTTTGTGTGGCTGCCTCCACGTTATCCATGGATGATACGGCAGATTGAAGCCTGCCTAGACCTGGGATTCTCCTGGGTCCACCCATTCTGCCCAATGTGGACACCAACCTACCACTGACTTAGCATACTTTTAAGTCCCCTGGAGTGTAAGATAACGATATGATTGACACACAGAGGATTAGAAGTGTTAAAGGAGTGATGGAGAAGCCCAATCCAGAATTCCTTCTCAGGCCATTTTCTAAGAGGCGGTATAAATGGAAGTAATTTATAAACTCTCTAATCTTGTCAGCAGAGGGCTTCATTTCTGCAGCCAAGAGGCACAGTGAAAAAGAGAATGTTTCTCAATGTACAGAACTTTTCCTTTTTGTTTGCTAATCAAGACAGTATTTATTTTCTCTATAACTAATTTATCAACTTGAACTAGGAGACTGGACATTCTGGTAATTGAAAATAAATGAATATACTTGGCAATAATTCAAGAGATCTTAAAAAGTTAAACATATATTTACCATATGTCCCAGTAAATCCACTCCTAAGAATCTACCCAAGAGAAATGAAAACATGTGTCTACACACAGAATTATACACACATGTTCATCGCAGTTTTCCTCATGAATATTTAAAAAAATTGAACCACCCAAATGTTCACTTATTGAATAGATTTGAAAAAGAGTTAATAAATTCAATACAATAGAGTAATATTAACATTAAGAGGGAACCAAGCATGTGTAAGATTCAGAGGCTAGCCGGGCTCAGTGGCTCAGCCTGTAATCCCGCGCCTTTGGGAGGCTGAGGTGAGTGGATTGCCTGAGCCCGCGGGGTTGGG